AGGTTTTCTAGAATTTTCAAGATGTCGCTGATGTAACAAGTGTTTGTAAACCGTTCCGTTGAAATAAAACAGAGTTTGTGTTTATCGAGAGCCGTGCGTTTCTTCAGTGTCACTGGGAATGGGCGAAAACCTGTATCAGAACATTAAACGTTCCCCACACCGCCAACCCATAATGGGTGAACGCTCACTTTGTGCTTGAGTCCATTATGTGTTGGCGGGGAGTTCATTATTGTTATTATTTTGTAGCGTTGTCAATACCAGTGGATTTGCTGCCACTAAAAAGCGGAAAATTTTGAGAAAAATCCACAGTGAACAGAACAGTTTCAACGTCACTGGCCCGTGAATATGAATAATTTAAAATGTCTTCCTGGAAATAGTTTTCACAATCTCATATGACAAACTAATAAAGAAACTAGTTTTAATCCATCAAATATAATTGTATTTATTTATTTATTTACATTGCGGGTGAACGGGTGACTGACGTGTGGTGTGGAATAACCTTGTAGTGATCGTCCGAGGGAACGGCACACCGTGACTGGTACGCCGTACCGTGTCCGCCGCGGCCTTTCACTACGCTACGCTAGATAGCTGGGTCAACTGTGTGTAGGGGTGTGTATCCGGGGTACATGTTACATGTACGTAGTCCTACCGTTATCCCATCTCACGAGTGTTTTCAAACAATCAAGGTAGATGTTATTGGCAATTATCTGTCTGTAATCAGAGGTCATTTTTGAGGCCGGTGATTTGACGAATAACTCGAAGCCTTACAGGCGTACAGCGAGCGACCGAACATGACTGGAAAGCTAATGGATGATAGCCATCCTAGAAGGAGAACAACAGTGATTTTAATCTCACTGTATAAATAAACAGATACACACCTGGGAACACGGATACTTTCATTTATTTATACAAACTGTGCCCGGACTGTTACATTTACCGGGAGTCGACGCCGAGGAAATAAGAGTCACGTCGGTCTTTCGTCGATCTCGTTTTGCAAATTTTGTAGTACAAAAACAGAACAAATTCATCTCTCTGTACTCGTAGACATACATTGTACCCCCATTTCGTTTGCATTTGCTTGGATAAATTATCCTCGTTTTGCCTCACTTCTTCAACACGATAAGTCGAACTAATCAGGAGGCCACCAGGACAGCAGCATCAGTCACGGAATCTAGAAGCGCGCGTACTAGATGGAACGCTTCAACCGAACGCGCGTTAGCTTACAGAGCAGACGACGATGCTTTCAAAATATTGTCTGATTTCGATATTGAAATCTGCTGTTATTAGTTATGGACCGTTTTATTTGATGTTGATTGTGGTATTAAATACTTGTTATCGTACAATATTTCTTCCATTTCAATAGTTTCTTCTTTATTCGTTTTCGAAATCAACATTGTATTCATATCCATGGGACAGGGCCTAGATGCTCAATAATGTAATACATTACCGCGAATAATCTGCTGCAATGACGTCATAAAATCCACTGGTATTGATAATGCTATAATATAATACTCAATAATGGGATACATTATCGTGAACAATCTGCTGCAATGACGTCATAAAATCCACTGGTATTGATAATGCTATAATATAATGTTTATAAATTTTTATTTATTTGTTGGCGTGTTACTTTTTCGTTCATCCCTAATTATATGTGTTCATGGTAGCTAAACTAGGGCAAACAATCAAGTATGTTCTTGTGAAATCTAAGTTGATATAAGTTGTGCATCAATCACAATTGATTTTTTCTCGGTTGGTGTCACTTGTGACTTTTATACATCAGACAGTATCCATCAAAGGTGGAATTGGTGAGTATCGTCAGCATTTCATTAATAGTTTTTTCTAAATTTTCCCTGTAAAGTACACAGTCGGTCGCCTTGTCTTTCTTCCAGGACGACACAAACAGTGTTAGCCTGTAAAAAAATACAAACAGTTTTAAAAACACTTTTCTTTGATATCTGAAATGATAACAACTATGACTTTTGATTGTATTTTATAGGGATTGGATTTACAAAATAATTTTCTCTTTCTTCGAGTAACTGGTAATTTTCTTTGCCAATTTCGTGAAAAACGCAAATACGTAATACATATAAATATCGAGATAGACTACAATGCTTCACATTTTTTTTAGTAAACTTACTCGTTCTGGGGGAAGGAGTAGAAAACACCATATCCGTTTTCGCACATCGGTGGCATGAAAGCTAACACTGATGAATATCCAGACATAGAAGTCGATAGAATGTAATTTCCATCTCCACCGCTGTCATAAAGATATAATGTCACATTATAGCACATCTGGACTAGATTAAAGGTTGCTTAATTATGTGAACAGATTCTGGACTTTCCCCAATGACACACAGTCGACTGTCAACTAATTTGCAGGTTTATCCAAAGTGTGGTTATCACTGAAAACAGGGCGACCCTATTCTATAGCAATTACACTCTAATGTAATTCATAAAGCTTAACTGGAATTTTCGGAATTTGGGATTGTATATATAAAATATTTTTATGATAAACAGTCCAGACCATCAAATTTCACATGATAGTCAAATGAGTCAAATAAAGTATATGAACAATATTTCTTTATACTAAGTTTAGATTACAATGTTACCATATCAAGCTTGGGCTTACTATAGGATACACGGACTGGCGCCATCAATTTCATATATAGCTTCACTCAACAGACAGATAGTTACGTCACCCATCCTTCCGTTACATTTCGTTAAAGGTCTGGAGAATTATTGATTTCCTATAAGGAGATGCCACTGCACAATGCTTGCTGTTCTTTCAGGTTTATGATCACTTTGCGTCAATATTATATAATCCTGAAAAATTCACCTCATAACAATCAATACAAGTGTTACCTTTTCATATACGAAGGGTCTTTATATAATTCTGGAAGCGGTATTCCATTCTCTGCTGCAATTATTTCTAATCCATAAAAATGTCGATCACAGCCCTCGTTGCGTTTACATTCACCCATCAACTGCACATGCTTATTAATCGCCGTGAGAAACAAGTTTAAAGTTTTAGATGGCTGGAAAACGGAACGAAACAAAACAATACAGTATAAGAATACAAATACACATACATTTTCAAAATTAGAAGAAATAAACACTATTTAAATTCGAAGTTGTGGAAATAAACCATGTATTTTACACACATTGGGTACGTCACTTGTGACACACGACGTACAGGACGCTGTGCGAAAGATTACAACTACACACACTCGTTCATACAACATAGAAAGCTCTATATTTTACCAGAATATTATATGCCCATGCATGCATGCAACTTTAATTTGAATGTTTGATTGTCTTAATTTAAAAATCGCTATTATTATTAAGTCGCAAAATCTATTGCTCCATTTGTTTCTCAGATCGCCAAGATTAATATACATTGCTCAACTTACTTCAATGTTTTCACCCGTCATATACTGACACCATTGTATTGCCTCCACAGAACATGTCCTCACTGTTTCCGTTCTGCTATGATAAAACTGGCGAGTTGTAGCTGTCTCATATGTTGGGGCAGGTCTGTACAGTAATAAATAAATAAATAAATAAATAAATAAATAATAAATAAATAAATAAATAAATAAATAAATAAATAAATAAATAAATAAATAAATAAATAAATAAATAAATAAATAAATAAATAAATAAATAAATAAATAAATAAACAGTTAAGAAATAAATAAACAGTTAACAAATAAATACACTTCCAAATAAATATACTTTCAAATAAATAAATATTCATTTAGTTGGTCTTTATTTCCCATTTATGTTGTGTGAATATTTGTCTTTTCAATTGTCTTGACATAAGGTTATTTTTATATCTGACTGTCACGGCATTTGGTTGTCTTGGTATTTCCTCTCATGGTCCTAATTTAAATACGTAAATAATATTATCCATTCATTTGCTTATGACAACCACTGATTAATGTTATGAAATACAAGTACAGTGTAACAACAAATCGTTTCTCACAACGCCACTCAATAAAGAGGAATATTGTTACATAATCGAAATGGGCGATCATTCGTGAACACATGAAATATGTTTGTTATTACCACACAAGTAATCAGATTATCATATTCAGCAGAAATGCGTCACAAAATGCAAAAAAAAAATATTTGGGTTGAGTTTGAAATACTTTCATTACCTTCTGTACATCTTGTAGTAAGTATATTGCAATGCTAATTGCAAAAAGGCATCTGGGTGAACTTTCTTGGATCTCAGAAATTCGCGATCAAAGCTTATTTTGTTTATAGACAGCTCAATATTTCCAGACTTGAAAAAAAATAGTGTATCATTTAAACGCATCTACTATACAATTATATGTTTATTCACAAGAACACAAATAAAGCCGGACAATAAATAATCGAATAATCAATATTAAACACTCAATATTAAACACTCACCTCCTCCCGGAACTGTTCAACAGCTTTATGTATAGTTTCTGTTATATGATCATCCACAATAAAATTTAGCTCTTGCGGATTTGGAAATTTGCTCACATCTGTTGAACCCTACTTATGATAATGGCAAATAATAATACATTATGCACACAGTATTTATTAACACATGAACTATTAATTGACGGTTGAGACACGTCCTACCATATTGTAGATTACTTAATGTGTGTCCACCTGCAAATTAGTGTAAAGACGTTATATAATTTGGATTATAATATGATAAAGCTGTGTTCAGCTATGCTTGGCACATATATATGATCACGTATTCCTAATTTTGCCACAATCTGTGACAACCTCTACTGGTTCATGTTCCTTATTTGTTTTAGTAATTCAGTGTGGACTGAGTCAAAAATTAATATAAAATGCAAAGCGAAATAGAAAGGGTTTTGGCGACAAATAGAAATTGAAATTCTGTTTATAGACACTCAACTTGAATCATAAACACATTTGAAATGATTAAATGATTAATACAATAATTAATAATGTATCGCCAATAATTTATCACAAACTTATGCATTTTTTAATACTCGATTTGCTGGATATTGTATATCGATGAATTATGATTTGAATCTTCCAATAATCGGCTTTGTGACAGTTTTATGAATGTAAATATCAAATGTTACACCATACCTTCCATACGCCATCTTGGGAGATAATTGTGGAATTCACGTGATTCAAATGATTTACAAGACACATTGCGTCCGCTCCAGTGTGCTAATAATTATATATAAACATAAAACAACAACAAATAACTTAACGATTAACTAGATATGATTGCAATGTCTAAATTACATGAAAATAATAAATAATTCAGTCATGGCATATCTGATCTCGTGAGTTGTGAGTTATATTAGACTATCTTTACTATGTACTTATAGTAAGATATGATACGAGGAATGCAGACAATGATATACACTAATATACACATAAATATATATATCCGAATATGATTACAATTTTATTTGATTTAAAACACAGCATAAAATGTGTACAGATTATTCAGTGCAATGTCAATTAAATAGAGTGTTAATTTAATTAAAGATATCAACTGGTCTGAGTATTTGTTTGTCTTTATTTTTCAGGCATGCAACACATTTACTGTTCCAAAAAAATTGAAGTGAAAAATAATCACGTCTGATAAGATTATTTGTAAAAATGCAGCCATTACGCATTACGCAGCCAATTACCAATTATTCAGATGTACATATCAGTGAATGGTGACTGTGGTTTATTTCTTGATCTCAACGAATCTCTGTTCATTCACCAAAATTCAATCCGACTGCGTGGTGGGAATCAAGACTTCACTTGCAGTTGCAAAACTACTAGTCATATATTGGAAATATATTAGAGTTGTCGTCTGATAACTTTGCCGTAAAAATAAGAAACGCCTGAAAGTATGTACGTCGTAGAAGCCGCACTAAAAGATTGACAGCTGTGCATTGTAACGGTTTCGTGAGAATGTTAAAATAAACATTATTCAATTCAGTGTTCTATTATTTGTTTGACGTTATATTACCTCCACACAATGGTGTGTGAAAAACTATATTTAGTGAGAATGCTATATGATACGAATGTACTTGCACTTACATCTATGTTCAGACCAAAGGTTCCATTTTTAAAACTAATAAGTGTATAGCCTTTATCAAACCATCGACCGTGACCAATACCACATAAGGATTCTCTGGCAATCTGGAACAAGGCAAAAATAATAATGGTTTAAAGGAAACCTAGTACTTTTCTCGAATAAATGGGATTCAACATAATTTAGTTATGTCGAATGTTAGATCAATCAAATGCCCAAGTGTTCGAAACTCGTTTGTAGTTAGAGATATAATCGTATACAATTATGTCGACCATGAATATAGTGACGTTGGCCGTGCCATATCATCGTGTAGAAAACATCACAAATATTAGTGAATGACATAAACTTTAGTCAGCTGATAAGAATATCTACCATACCGATTGCAGAGTTTCCGAAGCTTTGTCTTCAAGGCTTAGTATTAGCAAACTCGACTCGATTTCATCTAAAAACGTTTTATTCCGTGGATCCAGGGATAGTAAATGTGACCTCGCCTTAAAAATAAAATACCAATATATTTGATATAATGTTAATTTGTTTCCAACACAACATACTGTGAAATATATTACAAACAGTGTAATAGTATAATGTCGATTTACCTGTGCCCATGGTGTTCTGTCTAGTGCTGTCAACATTCCCACGCTTAGTATAGTAGGTTTGTTGTCACTTTCTGTCTTGACATACTCTAATTGCCTGCAAGATTCAGTTGTTAAATCAGTTGTTTGGTCAAGCTATAATTCAAATTAGAAAATAAATTTCTACTATGCGATTAAATAATAATACCTCTGGAGTGCTGGTGCAGACAGTAGTTTTCCATCATCATCAGTAGCATTAAACTTATAAAAGCGGCCTTTTCTCGTGACGATAAGATGACTTGGACAGTTACCTTCTTTCGCTGGAAAATATGGAATATGAAACTGTTTAAAAGTTATTCCAAAATATGCACCAGAATAAATATTTTGTGGCTACAAATGTGTGAAAGGATCTGATTTGAGAAAGTGAAAGAATTATTTTGATAAATATGTCAAGAATGGGATTTGTTTTTATGTGAACACTGAAAATATTGGAAACCCTGCAATTTTCTGTTGTATACTGATGTCGAAATATTAGAACTTTCTGGGACTCATCGACCCAAAAATCCTTGTTTTACATTGTAGTTACCTCAAAACGTTTTGACTGCTTTAATACAGTTGATGTTTTGACTGTAATTTGTTCTGATCGTGACACACCTCAGACCATCGTCTACTCTTGACAAAGTTCAAAATAGTCAATTGGACTGTAATTTTGATTACCAAAATACACATAATAGTAACATTTTATAACATAATATAAATTCTTGACTGAACCATTCAAACTCTCGCTTCTAAAGAACATAATATATTAATATTAGCAGAATGGTTTTAGCCAGTCACAACCATGCAACCCATCCATATTTTCGAACTGGACACTATTGAAATACTACGTGATTATGGTAATTAACCACTTACCCGTTTTAAACCACCGTACAAAAGTGTCTTTCTGTACACCAGGGACTCGGCTACTATTAAACAAACTTCTATATTGATTCATAGATAATTTTGTTCCACTGCGATCAGTCTCTACTGGCAGAGTCTCTCTAATCAAATAATTATGAAAATAATGTTTAAAATTAATATGAAAAATATAAGTAACACAATAATGTTTAGAGATAATGAGTAACTTACTCTCTGAGCATTTGCCAGAATTTTAACACGTTCCACAAGACCAATGCACATCTTTCTACTTGGGTGACTTCGTTAGATTGCCAAACTTCGCCCATAAGCGGGTTTATTATTCCGTAATTGACACCACTATAATTCGCAGAACCTCTTGCTTTTAAATATAAATCCAACCACCAGTACTCAAGCTTAAATAATAATAACATTTATTCAATATCAACGATTCTAAATAAATTTGACAAATTCAATCGCATTTATTTCTTTGAACCCATTTTATCTACTATTTTATCTATCTATTGGCGGCTTTATCATCTGATATACTAGCTCGTTCACAACAAGTTCATCGCAAACCTAATTGAAAGGGCCAATTTATTCTACATACTTGGTTTGCACAAACTGTACAGTCTCTGTATATAATAATAGTATTGAAGGGGGGGTACCCGAGGGCGATGGAAGACGCGACTCGCCGTGTTGTAGCAAGGTAATTGATTGCCGTGTGCGAGCATCGGTTAGAGTCACGAAATTAGTACATGTTTATTAAGATTGAACACAGTATTTACCTTGTTTATTCGGTCTAGATTAGTTTCTATATATACGTATTGATGGCGATACGTATACACATATATTACTTGTAGATGACTGTGACGAGGTTACAAAAACAACATTTGGAATTTGGAGTCGAGATCGAGTAGTATAGATCGTGTGATAGGCATTAAGCTCACAAACTCATCTGTTCGATACAATCAGTTGCGCTATTCGTACCCAATATGCATTGTGCATACTGTCAGCATTAATACCCCCCATGCGTGAAACATATATGAATATAAGTAAGAGTTACTGGTTGCATCAGGGAGGATATTAAATATTACCCAATTCCTTTCCATGCTTGCTTTCTTCAGTAACTTCTCGTGAAGCTCTTTCCCGATACCGTCATGAAATGATTTCACGATGCTTCGTGTGTTATCCAGTTCTTCCGATGAAACGTGAGGTTTAACTAATGTTGTAGGAACGACAAAATGAAACTAAATTTACAAATAGCATTACTGGTTTCAGGCAATTGGTTAACATTGGTTGATGTAATCCACCGTGTCTCAGGTAGCATTGAACACAAATATGAAATAGCTATGCATAAATTTAATACAATACTGAGCCAAGTGGAAACTAAAATTTCAGCTCATCTGCGATCAAGATAAAATCATTGACCGCAAAAGGGCGCTTTACTGCTTATTTTTCTCGTGAAATAGCTAGTCTATATTATCAATAATGCGACAGCAAAAATAACAGAATTCGTAAGAAAAGGGCTCAAATAGCAACGATTTAAATTCAATCCGATATGCCGAACCAGCGAGAAACGTGTTTTACGCAATAAATACTACATGTTCTAATTCAAGTCGATTAATTGAAGCACTGATGAAAAACAAATGCAGGACATTTTTATTTTTACAATTACCTAGTAATTTAAATTGCTTAATTTTACATGATTGTAGAAAAGCAAAACGACTAACCATGCGTTATAAAATGTTTCATAGAAAAGTAGCCATCACAAATGAACATTTCTGGTCATCAAATATATATAATAAAACATCCATATATGACAGATGTACTGAAATATGCTTTTGTAACGCGAGAACAGCATGAGAGTAGAATGACCTTTCAATGTCCCTGGTGGCGGCTTCTGGTGGTGTGCATTTTTACAAGTCTTTTACTAATACAATTCTAGCAGGTGCACACGATAGTACTTGCAACAAGTGCTTATTTTAATTTGACATTTTATATAACACAACGTATTTATTTGTATCTAAATTTAATTTATGTCCTCATTTGTTCTGTTTTTGTAACTTATTTGTGGTATGTGGCTACTATATGCAAGTCAGCACGTGCTACCACCATGACTTTTGTGGATTTTTTAAAATATAAAAAACAAAACAAGTATAACAGTAAAGTAAACAAGTGTGTTCAGTGATTGTGAAGAGGATTTTCAAGGTTTTTTTGCCTTTTGTTCACACTTTTTTGGAATACGCAATGTGAGGGGGGAAGTTACACGACCTATTCAATATCACCACTTCCGGTTTAACTTGTCATAACGAATATGTCATATAATCAATGACTGTGGCAGAAGGATAGGATCGTTTCAATGTACAATCATATGCTGCCCACCAGTTCATATCGTACAGTCAACTTGTAGGTGATATAATGCAATTTAGAAAATATAAATTGTGACGTTATGATTATTAGTGAATGTTTAATGAACCGTTACTAGGGTAATAAGTGATTAAAATACAAAATAGCTGTAAGTAATTGGTTCAACGTTTCTAATATTTTTTTTCATTTTTTTGAGAAAAGCGCACGATTAAGATACATCTGTATTAAAGTAAACGTTACATATACATATTCAGCTTGGTTCTATCTCCACGTGTGATTACATTTTTGGAATCGTTATATCACACGTGTATACCAGTATATAACCACTAAACAGAAGATTCAACTATCTTTCACTGGTGACGTCACATTCATTTAAAATATGGGCGCGAATGTATATACCGTAAAAATCCGCAAATAAGCGCCACCCTCAATTAAGAGCCACTCAGGGAAAATTTGTTACATTTGACCCTCCATTAAGAGCCATCAGAGTTGAGTGGTTTTGTCAATAAGAAACCAGAAATAAGCGCCAGCCGCCCGGTTGTTTACAATCAGGCAGACACAAGCTTGTCGTGCCTCACTTCCACCCTGCAT